AGGACTCATAAAATCACAGAACGTGTGACCTCTGGGACGGACTCATAGCCTTACTCATCACTTAGCAGTCACAAGCTCATTTTTGCTATGGCAGCGTGGTAAAATAGCTGCCCACAGTCCTAGGTGACCTGAGCCAAACTGAACAGTATTTTTTTTTCACAAAAATCTCTGAAAACTATTAGTTTCTTCTCAGGGCTAGGAATCACAGCAACATATTAGTTGAAAATAGAATGAAACAAGAATGATACACTTGAGCATTAGTGTGTCATAACTATAAACTTAGGAAGTTTTTTAATAGCTTGCTTAATGTGATTATTTACTTTATTTACTCTTCTTTGGGACTATACGTGCAACATGCCTCAGGTGGCACGTGACCGGGATTTAACACCAAATTTAATCCACTGGTTAGATATTAGCTTCCCCAGTCAGAGTCAGGCAGTAACAGGGAGTGTGATGCAAATGCTGATCCATTCCTCATTATCTCCCAATGAGGAGAAATCCTTAGTGAAAAGACTTGGGCTATAATGGAGACCCAACTTGTATCAACAAACTGAACTTTAAGATGCCACACAAATCATTCTGCACATTACTATAGTACAGTTGGTTTTGTATATAAAATTGGAAAATATGAATATGCAAAAAAACCAAAAAGCTTTTCATTACGATTGCTGGTAGAAACTGAATTGCTATGTGTCACACAGCAACTGACAGTAGATAGCAGCTAGTGCTAAAGTATTCCAGTGAGATGTCAAACTGCTGTCACAGCTGAAGTTCCAGATAGCTCTGACTGGATTAGCATAGCTAGTTAACTTCTTCAGAAACAGCCACTAGTTTTAAGCAAGATAGGCCCACCTACTCATAAAAACAGGAACCTCAAGGAACACCTTGCCGTTCCTACAAAAAATGACAATACAGAGCAAGTCCTGCAAGCAGGTGTATTAACTAAAATACTTGAAACTAGTTTCACACGAATGCTCCATAAGAAGATTTTATACACAGAACATATTTGCATCTATATATATATTAGTTTATGAAAGCAAAAGCTCACTTCAAAATAGACTTGACTGACCTAAAGGTTTCTACAGGCATGTTAACAAGAAGAAGGTGATCAGAGAGGGTGTGGGGCCCCTACTGGATGAAGGAGGTAACCTAGTGACAGATGATGTGAGGAAAGCTGAAGTACTCAATGCTTTCTTTGCCTCTGTATTCACGGACAAGGTTGGCTCTCGGACTAATGTGCTAAGTGACGCAAGATGGGATGAAGATGGACAGCCCTTGGTAGGTAAAGAACAGGTTAGGAACTATTTAGAAAAGCTAAACGTACACAAATCCATAGGTCTGGACTTAATGCATCTGAGGGTACTAAGGGAGTTGGCAAATGTCATTGAGGAGCCTTTGGCCATTATCTTTGAAAAATCATGGAGATCAGGAGAGATCCCGGATGATTGGAAAAAGGCAAATGTAGTGCCCATCTTCAAAAAAGGGAAGAAGGACGATCCAGGGAACTATCCAGTCTTACCTCGGTTCCTGGAAAAATCATGGAAGGAATCCTTAAGGAATCTATTTTGAGGCACTTGGAAGAGAGGAAAGTGATTAGGAATAGTCAGCATGGGCAAGTCTTGCCTGACCAATCTGATTAGCTTCTATGATGAGGTAACTGGCTCTGTGGACATGGGAAAGTCAGTGGATGTGATATACCTTGACTTTAGCAAGGCTTTTGATACGGTCTCCCACAATATTCTTGCCAGCAAGTTAAAGGAATGTAGATTGGATAAATGGACGGTAAGATGGCTAGAAAGATGGCTAGAAGGCCGGGCCCAGCGGGTAGTGATCAACGGCTTGATGTCAGGATGGCAGTCAGTTTATAGCGAAGTGCCCCAACGTTCTGTTATAGGACTGGTTTTGTTCAATATCTTTATTAATGACCTGGATGAGGGGATGGATTGCACCCTCAGCAAGTTTGCACATGACACTAAGGTAGGGGGAGAGGTAGATAAGCTTGAGGGCAGAAATAGGGTCCAGAGTGACTTAGACAAATTGTAGGCTTGGGCCACAAGAAATCTGATGAGCTTCAACAAGGACAAGTGCAGAGTCCTGCACTTGGGATTGAAGAATCCCAAGTATTGTTACGAGCTGGGGACCAAGCAGCTAAGTAGTAGTTCTGCAGAAAAGGACCTGGGGGTTACACTGGATGAGAAGCTGGATATGAGTCAAGAGTGTGCCCTTGTAGCCAAGAAGGCTAATGGCATATGAGGTTACATAAAGAGGAGCATTGCCAGCAGATCCAGAGATGTCATTATTCCCCTTTATTCAGCTCTGGTGAGGCCACATCTGGAGTATTGTGTCCAGTTCTGGGCCCCCACATTATAAAAAGGATATGGATGCATTGGAGAGGGTCCAGTGGAGGGCAACCAAAATGATTACAGGGCTGAAGTGTGTGACCTATGAGGAGAGGCTGAGGGACTTCGGTCTGTTTAGTCTGCAGAAGCGAAGAGTGAGGGGGATTTGATAGCAGCTTTCAACTTCCTGAAGGGAGGTTCCAACGAGGATGGAGAAAGGCTGTTCTCAATAGTGACAGATGGCAGAACAAGGAGTGATGGTCTCAAGTTGTGGTGGGAGAGGTCCAGGTTGGATATTAGGAAAAACTATTTTACGAGGCGAGAGGTGAAGCACTGGAATGGGTTACCTAGGGAAGTAGTGGAGTCTCCATCCCTAGTGGTGTTTAAGTCTCGGCTTGACAAAGCCCTGGCCGGGTTGATTTAGTTGGGATTGGTCCTGCCTAGAGCAGGGGGCTGGACTTGATGACCTTCTGAGGTCTTTTCCAGCTCTCTGATTCTATGATTCTATGACTGACTGACTGACTGCGCACAGAGACATCACTTAAGAAATTTGAGTCTGAGGAGTTGTTAGCAATTAAACACTCTGAAAGCTTGGGAAAAGGGAAAACAACATGCTGCCCACTCCGTCCGATAGTGTCCAATTCTCAGCAAAACAATGAATTTTCCAATGTGAACCAAGGTCTGTTCTGCCAAAGAGAAACAATTCCCTTTTCCTCAGAGGACATTTATAGTCAAAACCTTTGGGCTTGATCCTAGAAGGTAGTGAGTACCTAACTGCCCTTAACCCCCAATGAAATAAAAGTGGTAAATTGTTAGATTATCTCCAAAATTTTAGCTTTGCTCAATGCAAGAGTTCTGTTCTGGGAGTTCAGCAAGCTGCTTCCTACCAGCTCTATATTATACCACAAAGGCAGAGTCCTTGATTGAATCATGGTGGATGAAGTAGGCCTAATAAGGCAAGGGAGATCCAGGGCCCAGATTTGGCATACCTGCATTAACACAAGAGAATTCTCTGCTAGCCAGTTCTGTGGCCAACTTTGGGTTCCTCTACACCTTTTGAATAGTGCAAAGGGGTCAGATATGAGTGGAGTATTCAGACCTGTACCTACACACTGGACTGGTGCGAAACATTCCTGCCCCTCCCCAATACTGCCTTCCCTTAAAAAAAATCCTTAACCTCCCTGCTCAGAAACCTTAAACTGTCACTCAACAGAACAAGAGAATGGATCAAGCAGCAATTAGTGAAGACACTCGATACCTCGTACAATTGAGACCTAAGACTGTTGAGCTCTTTACCCAACCCAAGCAAAAGCTTCAGGATCAGGTCCTTTAAACTGTAAGCTGACAAAATGTAGCATTTTTATAAGAATCTTTCACCAAAATTCTGTACAAACACAAACTGATTAATTTCACATTAACATGTCCTCATGGGTGAACCCCTGGTTTGCTAACCCCAGCCATGTCTCTTCTGCTTCGAGCCCCTCCCCTTCCACACCTAGTGGAACCCAGCCCCCACTATGGCAGCTACCCTATGCCCAGCACTCCCAGCCCCCCTCCCACAGCAGTCACTGGCCACTGCCCCAGGCTAATGCTCCTAGCCCCTTCCCCCTGTCCTGGAAAGCGAGCAGAGCAGCAGCATCACAGCCTCCCCTGCTCCAGTCTCCTCCCCTGCAGACTTAAAGATAAGGGCTACAAAGGAGCTACATCAGATTTTATGATATCAAAAATCCCTTTATCTATTCATATCCCTTTCTTCTCTTCCAGGGCTGCTAACAGCCTTAGACTATCAGACACAAACCTGATAAACCCCAGATTCAAACCCACAATACCAGCTTAAGCCATGAATACAAGCAGTAGAAAAATTGAGTGCAGATCTGTAAACCTGAGCAAGCTAGCCCCAGCCTACTTCCACTGTAATTAACGGAAAGACTCATACAAGAAAGAAAACAAAACCTTCACATTATTTTGTCCCTTTGCCTACCAGTAGTAGGTTCCGGGCTTTGTTAATGAGTCTTTCGTAGTTCTTTCCATGAAGGGGAAATGATCATGCAGATTCCGAGAATTCTCCTAGTCCATTTTTATTCACAGGATCTACCTGTCCCCAGCAAGTCAGCCAGGAGTCACAACCTCATCCCCCATCCCCTTCCGGAGAGCAAGCCAGCCAGGCAGTGTAGCCCAAGAATGGACAGGTGGTGCAGCCCAAGGCCCTGCCCCCGGACAACCGAGTGGCACAGCCCCTTCTGCTTCCCCCAGCCTCAGAGTGATGGGCAGTGCAGCTCAGGTCCCCTCCTCCAACCCCAGAGGGCCTGGTTGGGCAGCCTCAGACTCCCCGGACCACACCACCCAGCCTGCTCTGACTAATATGTCTCCCCCTGCCGAGCCACCAGCTCCAGCACTGGGCAGGCGGTGTAGCTTGAGTGGCTCTGGTGCCAGGAGGACAGGTGGCATGGCCCCCAGGCCTGCCTGCCCCAGAGGCCTGGAGGTGGAGTATAGGCAGGGTTGGGAAGAGCCTTCCCACACCTACGATACACGCTCAAATGCTTCTTCTGATCCTAAGCAAAGGCCAACTTCTGCTCTCAGATACAGTGTAAGGCCTAGTCTATACTACAACTGTAGGTCAAAGTTGACTTGCAGGTATCTACTCTTAAATTAGCTACTCACCTACGTCAGCGCTCCATTATGCCAACATACTTACACCACCTGTCCCAGAATCATTGAGCCACGGTCAATGTGCAGACGTCAATGTGCTGAGCAAATATAAACACAATGTTACCTATGTCATCCCTAACAGTTCTCCAGCAGCTGTCCCACAATGCCCAAGACTAACCATTCTGGTCATAATTGTGAACTCCACTGCCAAGCAGTCACGGACACTAGAAGCCCACCCCTGCTTTACAACCTCACACATTTTAGAAATGCCTTTTCCTGATTTCTAGCTTGGCGAACACACCTCGTTGGTGCATGCAACTGCCCAGCTGACCAGGCTTGCTACCTGCTCCAGATATACTCTAGCTTGGAGTGGACAGGAGATATTGGATATCCTGGGCCTGTGGTGAGAAAAGGCTGTGCAAGCACAGATACAGACCAGCCACTGAGACGTGGATATCTCTGAGCAGATTGCAGGCGGGAGGAGGAAGGAGTACAACCGGAACCAGCAGCAATGCCATGTGAAAGCCAAGGAACTGCATACACACCCATAAGGCCTGAAAAGGCAACAATGGATCTGAGACCGAGTGACAGACCTGCCATTTTTACAAAGAGCCAAATCCCATACTTGGGGTAAACTGCACCACCACCCCGTACAGCACCACAGATACCTCTAAGGAGCCCAAATCACAGGCCCCTGCCATGAACTATAAGGAGGAGGAAGATGGGGGACAAATGAAAGGGGGGCTCCATCTATGCTGTGAGCTAGAGCTGCTGGAGGTGCCACAAAGTCCAGTCTGTTGAGCACAGTGGAGCCCTATGTTGGAGAAAGAACTTCAGGTAAGAGTATAAATTTATTTCCTATTACAGTGATGGTGCCCCCATCATAATCAGGACACAACTAATGACTGTTCAGCCATTTACTCATACTAGAAGAGGAACTGGTACAACAAAGAGAAGTAGAGATGTTTCTCTGCTTTTTATTCTCCTCTGGAATTGGGAGTCGAGGGGAAGGGGGAGGAAGAGTGGCATCGGGAGTTGTTCATACGTGCAGGGATATTCTTTGAATCCTCTTGAGAGATCACAATCAAACTTTTATGGAGATACCCTGTAATCCTCCCGCAAAGATTTTTAGGGATGGGAGCCTTATTTCTTCATCCACACTGACACTTTCCCACTCCTCCCAGTGATAACTTTGGCAGGAATCATTTCAGTCAACAGACTAGCAGTATATGGACCTGGGAAGCTTTGGAATGCTAGCAGCAGCTGTGTTCTCTGTGCCTTCGTTTCCCTCAGGAGTGTGATACCAGCTTAAATCACTATCACTTGAAGAAAATGGTGCCAGTGTTTAATGTCATCCATGCTCATAGTCTCATAGGGTATGTCTACACTACCCTCCTAGTTCGAACTAGGAGGGTAGTGTAGACATACCCCCTGTCAAGAACTTTCAAACACTTCATATAATTTCCCTGAGCTATTAAACCTGGGAGTTTACAGAGCAAAAACCTAGTCCTGCTACCTTGGATTTAAATTAAAGCAGGATTAGTGCCTGGGTTAAATATTGCTAGCTTTCAAAAATACCCATGGAACATCACATTCAGTGTGGAAAATGGTTGTAAAAACATTGGGAATGCTTTGGAAATTTTTTCTGTGTAAAATGTTGAGAATTGTATTCTAAGCGGTTTTGGCACCCCAGATTTCACTTTTTGGCGAAATCCAGCAAGACATGACCTGTTTTTGTTGTGGGAGGACCATGATGCGTGAAAAGAGATGCAAAGGTACTACACAATGTTTTGCTGAAATAGGTAGATCATGGAGAAAAGTGATGATTTTCAATAGGAAATCATTCTCAATTTGGAAGAGTTTTAGCCAAAAAAGTCTAGGTCTACACTACAGAGTCCCCAGTGGGCCATGCTTCACCATGGTTGATGCTGAGCACAAGCACACCAAAGCAAAACCGTCAATGAGCATGTCTTATTTAAAACATTAGGGGAGAGAGGGAAGTGACCTCTGAATCTTATTTTCACTTTCTGCTGTGAATATACTGACAGCAGTACCTCTGTCAGTAATAAGAATATAGCAGTAGGGATAAATTAAAGACCACCTGACCAGGATGGTGATAGTGACTATGAAATGCTAAGGGAGATTCGAGAGGCTATCAAAGTAAAAAACTCAATAATAATGGGGGATTTCAACTATCCCCATATTGACAGGGTACACATCACCACCTCAGGACTGGACACATCTTGAATACTGCATACAGATGTGGTCGCCTCATCTCAAAAAAGATATATTGGCATTGGAAAAGATTAAGAAAAGGGCAACAAAAATGATTAGGGGTTTGGAACGGGTTCCATATGAAGAGAGATTAAATAAAAAGACTGGGACTTTTCACCTTAGAAAAGAGGAGACTAAGAGGGGGTATGATAGAGGTCTATAAAATCTAGTGTAGAAAAAGTGAATAAGGAAAAGTTATTTACTTGTTTCCATAACATAAGAACTAGGTTAAAAGACAGAAAACAAAGGGTAGGAATAAATGATAAGTTTTCCGAGTGAGAGAGGTCCCCCGAGGGTCTGTCCTGGGACCCATCCTATTTAACATTTAGGGAGTCACTAAATGAAATTAATAGGTAGCAGGTTTAAAACAAACAAAAGGAAGTTTTTCTCCACACAGTGCATGGTTGGCCTGTGGAACTCTTTGCCAGAGGAGGTTGTGAAGACCAGAACTTTAACAGAGATCAAGAAAGAACTAGATTAATTCATGGAGGTTAGGTCCATCAATACAGATTAACCAATGCGTGGAGAGGGACTGCTTGTAGATTCCCTGTTCTGTTCACTCCCTCTGGGGCATCTTCCATTGGCCACTGTTGGCAGACAGGATACTAGGCGAGATGGACCTTTGGTCTGACCCAGTACTGCCGTTCTTATGTTCTCTGTGTGTTTTACCTGTAGCTGCTGCCATTGTAGACTTGAGGGGATCCCCCTCTATACCAGTGGAATGCCAGAGCTAGATAAGGAGGAGAAAGAAGAGAACTTGGAATGACATGTTCAGCAAGATTCTACAAGCCATTACTGCCTCAGACCCTGAGCAGAGACATGGGTGGTAGGTGAACGTAGGGCTGGGGGAGGCAACCCTCCCAGCTCCACCCCTTCTTCTTGAGGTCCTGCCCTTCCCCAATTAAAAGCCAGTTCCCCTAAGCACCGTCTCTACCATGTTGCCTCCACCCCCCTTATCCCATGCTGCTGCCTCTGTTAGAGGCAGCGAGGGGGGGGACAGGGAAGGCTGCCATGAAGCAGCCTCTGCTTGAGGCCAGCACGGACCATGGCGAACAGCAGAAAGTTATCGTGTTCAATAACAATCACCACATACTAGTAAAAACCACACCACCTATGTTTCTTCCTAAATACGCAGCTTACATTTTACACATCCACTTCTCTGCCGCTGGTTTTGTATTATTCTGTACTGTCCCTGTGTGAACCTTAAACTATAAGCCCATTGGAGCAAAAAGCTTTGTAAATGGCATAGTTTGCTTACTGAATAATGCTATGTATGCTCATGATGCTCTGTAATTAATAATTATAAAAAAGCAGTAGTAATGCACAGTCAAGAGACGTAGAAAAACTTACTGTGTACCCAAATGAGCTAAAATTCCTCGTTACATATATTCCCATGCATTTTGGAGGGCACCGCTGTAGAAATGCCAAGTTCACAGTATTGTAATGCATACAGCAAGCAAAGAAAGCACTCAACTGTACCACCAAGTATTAAAGACCACATGACTGTCATATGAATACACGTGCATGCAATTACTCTAATTTCTCTATATTTGATTACTGACCAGTGGCTTTATCTTAGCAAGCTATTTGCATGCATTAAATTTAGAAGCTAAAAATACACATTTTTTTCTTAAACCCCAATCCTCAATATTCTCAGTACCCCCACTTTCTAAACAGTGGTAGAAATGTAGCCGTGTTAGTCTGGTGCAGCTGAAACAAAAAACAGGACTGTGTAGCACTTTAAAGACTAACAAGATGGTTTAATAGGTGATGAGCTTTCGTGGGCCAGACCCACTTCCTCAGATCAAATAGTGGAAGAAAACTGTCACAACCATATACACTAAAGGATACATTATTTATTCTAAACACCTATTCCCAAGCAGATCCCCACAAGTTTCAATAGGCTTTGAAAGGATTTGATTGCATGGAATTCATTTCCAGATGAGGACCTTAGTAATCCGTATTCTGTCACCTGTGCAAAATAAAAATGCTATTCCATACACATCTCCTGTGTGCAGCCCCAGAAGAGACCTTGTGTGGCCCTGATTTGCTCCCCTCCCAGGGTGTGACAAGGAGAATGTGGTTCAACATACTGTTTAATGGGTTAATTGATTAAAGTGGGTGGGAGGATGGAGTGCCCCT